CAAAACTTCTCCTAACACAATTCTTTTAGCCTACTGAATCACCACGTCAGGGAGAAGGCAGGGATTATATGTAGTTTGAGGAAAGGCAATATCAGATTTGGGCAATCCACAAAACCAAATCTTATTTGCTAAACATATCACCCACAATCCGAAAATTCCTATTATACTGCAAAGAACCCATTCCCACGGTTCCTCAACCATAAGTGTCATCAGTTGATTCGTTTTCCTCTTGATTACAATTAATGATCTTAGCCTCAGCCCCTGTCTTTTTCGGGAGGGGGCGATTCCTGAAGAACGAATACCCAATACAACAAAACAAAATAAAAGTAAGCACAATTACTAAAACAAGAGATGGCAATACCTTGACAGGTGCTCAAACTTTCTAATACATTTTATATCTAATAAATGGAACGTTGTATTCCTCCTCCAAATCTTCAGCCGTACGTCGAGAAACCAGCTTCCTGTGTGGTTTCAGTAGGGCTTCTTCTGCCCTGTAAGAGCTACCTGTTGCTGGTAGGGCAGCTTATAGGGGGCGTGTCTTTAAGCGTATTACTAAGGGATGGGATTTGTCCGAGTCAGCCTCCCAGTATTCTTCAGCGGCTGGTTTAATGCGGGTCCAATGAATCCAAGACTTGGATTTTAAAACGTTTACTGCAAGTGGAGAACACATAACTACAGTATATGGGCCCTTCCATCTAGGTTTCAAGTTCTCCCCTTTCCAGTGTTTCACCCACACTCTGTCCCCCATCTGAATATTATGAGTGGAAGTTGTTAGAAATGGTGAGGTGAGGGAAACACAATACTGTTGGATTTCTTGTACTTTGTAATTCAATTCTCCCACCATTTGATTCACCCATGAGGACCCCAGTTGTCCTAGGTCCCCCATATGATTTTTTTCAAATTATGGCTTATAACCGGTGGCTGTCCAAACATCATTTCAAAAGGAGATAATTTAAGTTCTTCACATGGAGTACATTTCACAGAGCAGAGAGCTAAGGGTAAGGCATCTACCCATTGAAGGTGGGTTTCAAAACACACCTTATATTTTCCTTAACATTGGGATTCACACATTTGCTTAATTTCTTTCCTGAGGCCGTTAAAAGACCTCTTTCCCTATAATTGGCAGCATTGGTATGCAAAGTAAGGAAGGCATACAGAGTCAGCTCAGATGTTCACCCTTTCATTCTTTGTCCTCTCTAGCGCTCGGATCAAAGCCCATAATTCTGCTGTTTCTAAGATTACTGGTAGGCTGTCCAAGGATTAATTTATTAGCTTCCTCCATCAAGAGAGTAGTAGCAGCAGCCAGCCTTTTGCATCAACTGTTCGTATAGATAAGCCACAGGTTGTTGCCAACTTCCCCTTTCTTATCAGAGCCTGAGATAATTCTGACTTTAGGGTTTTGTACGCCCGTTTCTGCTTTAAGCCCCAAACAAATGGTTCTTTTTCACCCCCCTTCATAGATGCATAAGGAGGTTTGGCTAGAAGCACGAAATTTGAAATCCTCATCCTGCAATATCCTGCCGTGCCCAAAAGTCCCTGTAACTTTGTTCTAGCCATTGGTTCCGCAATTTGGCACACAGCTTCTTTTTGCTCATATCCTATCGCCCTCTATCCTCGACTTATGGTGTACCTTAAGTATTTACTTGGGGCTTTTCCAGCTGAGCTTTTTGCCTTGGGGCACGGTGTCCCTTGTCCATGAACAAATGGAGCAATTGATTGGTAGTTTTTTTCAACAAATCTCCTTTGTCTGTCCAGTTACTGAGATATTATCTACATATTGGAGTAGCACATCTCCATCTTTGCAAGGCTGGAAATTTTCCAGGTCTGAGGCCAAGGCTTCACCAAAAAGGTAGGTGAATTTTTAAATCCTTGGGGAAACCTAGTCCAAGCAAACTGCCTCTTTTGACCTGTTACTGGGTCTTCCCCCTCAAAAGAAAACAGTTTTTGGTTGTCTCTATGTATTTGAGATGGTGAAGAAGGCGTAGGCGGACAGTCATGGCTAGAGGCTTTACTTGTATAATTATAGGTGCATGATGAGAAGCATGGCCTGGTGGACTATTTTCTTGCATCTAGGGAACATTTCAAGAGCTTCAACACAAGGCGTCTGTTTGTCAGACCATCAACCCCTTGGATATTTAGTACATTATTGGAAAATGGAGACAAGGGTTTTGTAATTACTGATCTAGACACCCCTGTGTCTANGAACAATAATAAAGCAGTCTTTAAAAAATAAGTCTAGTAATTTGAACATTCTATAGGCATTTATAGTTATTGACTTACCTCCATGCAGCAAACAGCCTGATTAGCACAAGAAAAAAAAATCTGCCTCTGCCTCGCAGCAATTTGCCACGTGGAGCAAACAGCAAGTTTAACTTTCAATTTCTCCAGATCATCAACTGTTTCAGGCTGCAGGGATTACTATAACGTATTGCAGCCTCCGCAAGCCCCCGGTTGCTGCAAGGAGGTAAATTGCTGGGAGGCAGAGGCCAAAGGGTTGGGGCTGGTGGGTGGGTGGGGCTATATTCAGTGTGTACCTAAATTTTCAACCTGTTTTAGTGGGGAAAAAGATGCGTCTTGTACTCCAAAAATACGGTACATCTGGCCAGTATAACTTAAGTTCATTCACCCCTTCTTTCTTTTGATGTGTTTCTTGTAAGAATACAATATATATTTTCTCTTTGTTAATTGATTTTTCAATTCTCGCTCATTTATATTCCCCCCCCCCCCAAACCATGTACATTCCATGTAGCTACCTTCAATGGTTTTCTCATCTATTCCTATTACATATTCCCTTTGGTCTCTATTTGTGCTCTAAGATAAATCTTACAAAACTAAAACTAGTAAAACTACACAGTATACATATTACCTCAAAATGTAAATAACCTCTTACCCACCCATAAACATATATAATGGCCCCCTTCTCTTCTTCAGGAGATCTTCCTCCTCTCCGCCACATAGGGTCTCCGGGGGAGAGAAGAGGAGCCATCTATACACAGTCTTCAGTC